ACACACGCACGCACGCCGCACGCACGCACGCACGCACGCACGCACGCACGCACGCACGCACGCACGCACACACATTTTCTGGCGCGCGGCCACGTGCGCAGCGGCGTGGCGTAGGAAGTCGGGCGAAGAGACGCGCGCGGCTGGCCCGGATGACGCACAGTGGAGATAGTGGATACACCAAAAGTGGGGTCGACAGCATCACTCGCGAGGGGGGGAGGGGAGCGGGGGCAGACGCGAGGGGAGCTGGGGGGGGAGGCGGGGAGAGCGGGGAGACGAAGGCTGGAGCAGTGCGCAGTGCAGGCAAGAAGGATGAGGCGCAGTGACGACCCGCAGGGGCGGGGCGAGACGAGGAGGTAGGCAAACGAGAGTCATGGGAAGAACAGAGGCAGGGATGAGACGGGCACACACTTTTTGGCGTCGCGGCCCTGCTCGCGGCGACAGGGCGGAGAAAGTCGTGATGCAGCGAGCGCGCGCACGAGACGGACATACGCAGACACATACGCGTTTCTGGCGTCGCGGCCACGCGCGCGGCGGCGCGGTGCAGGTCAAGTGAGGCGGGAGCGCGCGGGCCGTGCCTCCCCACGCAGCGTGGAGAAGCTGGATCTACCCTCGAGGGATCGGCAGCAGCACTCGCGAGGGGGCAGTCGCGAGGGGAGAGGGGAGAAGGGAGCGGGAGAAGACGGGGAAAGGGGGGAAGAGGGAACGAGGACGGGAAGAAGCATTGCGACAGTGACGCGCCGAGGTAGCACGCGAGGCGCAGCAGGAGGGCGGCAACGGCAGCCGAGCAGGATGGAGAGCCGGGGCAGCGTGAGGAATCCGGGGCCAGCAGGGGGGCACCGCACACACACACACACACACACACATGTTTTAAGTCGGCGGCGCAGAGGAACCTCCGGCGCGGACGGCAGATGGAAGTGCCGATTGCGGACGAAGTCAGTCGAACGCGCCGTGATGAAAGGGGCAGCCACGGCCGTGCTGGCAAGCGCAAGCGGTGGAAAGATGGGGCGCTGCAGTGCAAAAGTGCAGCGGTCAGGCATCCCGCGGAGCGTAGCTCGACGCCAGGGAGGTGCAGCGGCCAAGCATCCCGCGGAGCGCACACATACACAAACATACACAAACACACACACACACCGCCACTTGACGCTCCACGCCCATCAACACACCACCGCACAATCCATCCTTTTTTCTTCACGCAACTGATTCGATATAGTATGTCATGCTCCAACGCATAGATTCGTCGTGCTCCTCGGTTCCATCATCTCCTTCATCTTCCGAGGGAATTGAGCGGTACCAAGAGCCAATACGTTGCTCCCACGAGTTGGTCCCCGCCCCATACTGCCACTGACAGCGGGTTCAGCCAGGACGGATTCGGAGAGAGGTGTCTGGCGTGTTCGCTCGCAGGTGCTTGTCATGCAACCGGTAAACCGTTGTAAACCGTTCCGGAAGCGAACTCGCGAGAGCCGCTCTTCCCAGGCCGACCCCACGATGTTTACGTTCGCGCTGACGCTGGCGATCGTGGCCCTCGGCATGCTCGTGGTGGTCGCTGCGCCCAGAGCGGCGCCGAGCCCCGTGGCGGAAGGGAGGCGCCCGCAGCCTCCACGGTGCGTTCTCATCCAGTGCGCACCGCGGCACGCACGTTTGCCCTCTCCCAGCGTCCGCGCCCTCCAGTCGCGCCTTCTCCTCCGCCGCCTCCTCCTCCGCCTCCTCCTCCTCCTCCTCCTACTTCCTCCTCCTCTCCTCCTCCTCCTCCTCCTCCTCCTCCTCCTCCTCCTCCTCCTCCTCCTCCTCCTCCTCCTCCTCCTCCTCCTCCCCCGTCCTCCTCCTCCTCCTCCTCCTCCGCCTCCTCCTCCTGGGAGCTGGGGGGGATCAGCAGGCGAGAGCGCAGATCGTTCGAGTCCACAGTTGGGCACCGTCTTGCGGCGCCCGTGTCCGCTGGGCACTCTGGAAACAGAACCCCTGGCTTGCGGCACTGCCTGCGGACAGTTTGAGGCGCTCGTGTCGTGCTGAAGACGTCTTCAGAACACTCGCCTCGCCTGGACCTGTTGTACAAAGCGCACTAGCTAAATATGTCCACGGCGACCACGCCTCGTTGTTTCTGAACAGGTAGCCGCGACAATACGCTTGCAGCCACCGACACTGAATACGACAGGACCTACATGTCATCATTGCCGTTGTGATACCCAGCGCTGGTCGTTACAGGTGCTGTCGAAATGTGACTACGGAGTTGCGACGTCTCATGTACATGTCGGCAGAGTTCCCCGGGGTGGCGGGCGGCGAGATGTCGGAAGGCATCCCGACACAGTTTGTGAGTTCTTATCGTTGTGTGTCATGGTATGTTGGTGTTGCCGTTGCTGTTGATGTTACGTGTGATCATATTCGTGTTGTTGCACGACGGAGGCACTCCATGCCGGAGGGGATTGGCGAGTCCACGTCCTTGCTCAGAGCAGACAACGCGACGTGGCATGCCCCGAGGCGCCGCCGAAACCCATCTGAAGGAGGTGAGCGCCTTGACTCATCACACACGCACCCCTTCGCTTTGCGGCTCCTCTCCCTTACGCGCACATGTTGTCTGCGCGCTGACGATACTCTGGTGGCTTGACGAAATGATCGTGGCTTGGCCGCTGGGGGAGGCCCTCGTTGCCGCGGCGTCGCCTGGCTCGAGAAAGGTTGGTGGGGGTGGCGTCTCAAAAATGTTTTGGAGTCGATGTTGAGCGGACATCAGTTGGATGGTGTATTCCCAACCCTCTTGCGTTGTGTTCTCGCTTTGCATAGAGCACTGCTCGCGGGTATCGTTCCTCTTCCCGCCTCCTCTCTCTCCTGCTTCATACCTCCGACCTGCGCCTCTCCTACCACCCAGACTCGACCTCCTGGCATGCCAACTGCGCAACCGTCACGACTTTCGCGGGCTCTTGCGAGGCACAGCGGAGCGGGGTGCCACGGGCACCTAGTCGGCACCTCGCGGCTCCTTGGGGGGGCTGCCGATTGCACAGCTTCCAGCACGCCCGTGGGCTTCTGGAAGGCCCCAGCGGAGCGGGGGGCCACGGGCACTCGGTCGAGACTTCGCGGCTCTTTGGGGGGCTGCCAAGGGCGCAACTTCCAGAACGCTCGTGGGTTCCTGGAGAGCCCGGCAGAGCGGGGGGCCACGGGCACCCAGTCGAGACCTCGCGGCTCTCTGGGGGGGGGCTTCTAACGACGCAGCCGTCGTCACTTGCGCGGGCGGCTGGGGGGTCCAGCAGAGCGGGGATCCAGGGGCACGACCTCGCGGCCCCCAGAGGTGTTGCCAACTGCGCAACTTCCAGCACGCTCGTGGGCTCCTGGATGGCCTAGCTGAGTGGGGGCCGCGGGCACCCAGTCGATACCTCGTGGCTCCCTGGGGTGCTGCCAACGGTGCAGGTGTCGTCGCATGCGTGGGCTTCTGGGAGGTGCAGCGGAGCGGAGAGACACGCACATCCAGTCGAGACTTCGGCGACGCCCTGGGGGGTCCAAATACGCAACCGTCGTCGCTTCCGTGGAGAGTTGACATGGTCTGATGGTGTTTGGCGAAGCGTTCACGAGTGTCGCAGGTAGTTTAGTGTGTTAGGTTGTAGTGAGCGGTCACGCGTTTAGCGGGCACGCGTTGAGCCAGGATTGGATATGCCTCGGGTAAGGGTTGAGGCGCCCCTGCACTTGAAAGTGATCCGTGTCCTAGAAGATAAAGGGACGGGCTAGTAAGTGAGCGGTGACTCGGGCGGGGACCCGAGTCATCTGTGAAACGGGGAGTGTGACGGAGTAAAGACATACAAGCATCATGTGATCGATCAGTCGGAATTCTTTCAAAAACAATTACACCTTGCCGGTCGGACCCACCCAAGCAGTCGTTGCAGAGTTGTTAGTACCCAGCATATTGCGTCTGCAGCGATGTGCTCCAGGCAGGCTTGATGATCAGAAGCACGAAACTCCATGCTGCAGTGAGAAGCCAAAGAGTGTTGGGAACGGACCACCAGACCATTTTGAATGTATGAGGGATGGAGAGGACGCGCCAGCATGAAAATAGTATGACACAAAGGCCAGAGGGAGGAAGGGAGGAGAACGAGAGCGGATGATGGAAAGGTCGGGAGAAAGGAGCCCGATATTGTCGCAGGGGTTGGCGAGGGCGGCGAAGAGAAGGTGCGCCACTGAGAAAGGAAAGGGACAGGCAGGAGCAGAGAGCCTGAGGGGTGCCGTGGCAAGAGCACGTCTGGGAGGAGCAAGCGTCGTATCGCCCCCAGGCCAGTGCTGTGCATCTGCCTCGCCTACATGTTCATGAGCACCCTCCTCGTGGGCTTGCACCTCGGCCTTCCGAACCCCATGGTGGCTGGTGGTGACGGAGACGGGGAAGCGGGAGCGGTGGAGAGAAGCGGGGGGAAGGGTTTTTGGTCCGACTGCGGGAAGTGCAGGAGCGTGCCTCCAAGGTCCTTGGGGGCGGCGCTACGACAGCAGCACGAAGAGCAGGCGACCAAGCAGCAAGGCGCGAGCGGCGGCACCACCACCCTGGCGCCCTTGGGACGGGCGGGGGAGGGGAGGAGGAGGAGGAGGAGGAGGAGGAGGAGGAGGAGGTAGGGGAAAAGGAAAAGGAGGAAGAGGATAAAGAGGAAAAGGAGGAGAAAGAGGAGGAGGAGGCGGAGGAGGAGGAGGAGGCGGAGGAGCAGGAGCAGGAGGCGGAGGAGCAGGAGCAGGAGGAGAGGGAGGAGGCGGATACGGAGGCGGAGGAACAGGAGGAGGAGGAGGCGGAGGCGAAGGCGGAGGAGGAGGAGACGCGGGGAGGGGCGGTGGAGGGGAGGCGGGGCGGCCATGGGGCAAGAGGTGAGGGGAGCGCTTGCGCCACGGGCCAGTCAAAGGACGGGGCGGCACCACCCGCGTGAACAGACCCCAGGGGGCCTGTTTCATTGGCGGCTGTCCTCGAGAGGATTGCTGCATTCCTTACTGGCCGTCAGCCCTATCTTCCTACCCTGCCTGTGCCTCCTGCTCCTCCTCCTCCTCCTCCTCCTCCTCCTCCTCCTCCTCCTCCCTCCTCCTTCTCCTCCTCCTCCTCCGCCTCTTCCTCCTCCTCATCATCCTCCTCATCGTCTCATACTCGCATCCTCATCCTCATCCTCTGCTACTCCTCTCCTCCTCCTCCTCCTCCTCCTCCTCCTCCTCCTCTCCTCCTCCTCCTCCTCCTGGTTCCTGGTTCCTGACGGTTGGAGGGTCCTCTAGACGTTGTCCTCCATCTCCTCATCTTCCTCCTCCTCCTCCTCCTCATCCTCCTCCTCCTCCTCCTCCTCCTCCTCCTCCTCCTCCTCCTCCTCCCCCTCCTCGCTTCCTCTAGCTGCGGAGACCAGAATCGGTGGAGTCGGTCGTCGTGTGAGTGTCGGTGTTGCCGCCGCTGGGATAATTCCAAGCGCTGCACTAGCACCACCCTCTTGAGGCACCACAGTTCTGGGTTCTCAGATATCATAGTTGTACTTGTGCGGCGGGCATGTCGACCAGTCACTGGCCGCTCACTCCCAGGGCATAGGAGAGAAAGAAGAGGACGGAGAGGTGTAGAAATGAGATGGCGAGGAAGTTGGTTGAACAGCTAGAGGGAGGCAGGTCAAGAAGGGACATGGCAGTGGATTGATGTGCCTTATTAGTATATGTTGTCGTGCAGCTTGTCGTGCCCACTCACGCTGCGTGCATACAGGTTGGCCGTTTAAAGTTTTTGAGAACGAAAAGGTCGGGAGGAGGGCGATTACGAGCAGGAGGTAGAGAGGGCGGAGGAGGACATGGACGAGGAGAAAGAGGAAACGACTAGAGGGGCGTGGTGGTACCGTCTCGACGTTGTCCCTCGTGGGTCGGGGGCGTCTGTGAAACCTCCAGCGTATACACGCATGCATGCATACATGCACACATCCATGTTGTGTACATACATAGATGCATGCATGCAACTATGAGTGGATACTAACACGCATGCGCGTATGCATGGACGCATGCAAGCACAAACACATACAGCTATACACATATGTATACGCGTATGCATGCGCACATGCATACATATATACATGCATGTATACACATATGCATACAGACATGCATACACCTAGACGTGCATGGATGCGTACAAACATACATGCACACAAACACACAAACAAACAAACAAACAAACAAACAAACAAACAATGACTGGCCTTCGGCCCATGCCGCCACCGTGCCTGGGTTGCGGGGGTGAAGCCTAATGGATGTTCGTTGGGGTCTCGTGGGAGGCTTCTCGGGGGCCTCTTGGAGGCAGCTTGGACGCCTCGTGGGGGCCGTTTGGCAGCCTCTTGCGGCCGCTTTTGGACCTATTGGGGACCTCTTGGAGCCTCTTTGGGGCCTAACCTCCTGGGCGCCTCTGGGGCCTCCTGGGGGCCTCTTGGGGCGGGGGGCTCGGATTTTCGGTTCGTGTTCCTTCTTTGGGGGCGATATCGGGGGCCTCTATGGCCGTCTGGGAGCTTCGGGAAACCGAAAAGGCGAGAACGCCAAAATCTTTGAAAAACCCATTGAAAATCAATGATTTGGGCCTCTTGGGGCCCTCTTACGACGGCCTTGAAGCTCCAGAAAATTGAAAAATTTTCCGAGCCCCCACGAGACTCCTCAGGTGTGAGGACTGAGGCTCAGGGGATTGGGCAAAGGACCTGAGGACACGACCATTCCGTGCCCAGCGGCACGGTGGCGGCTATGTATGTGCACAAATGTTTACACACACACACAAACACACGTATACACATATACACATGATATGTACATACTTACATATAGAAACGTGTGTATACACATACACGCAGATACAGCGACCTACACATATACATACGTCTGCACATGTACATATACATATACATACACACGTATGCGATAGAGCGCGTTATGTGCACGCTTGGAGGGGTGGGGGTGTTCGAACAGGTGTGGGGCCTTCAGGGGGGGGATTCGAACAGGGGGGGTGCCCCCCCCTTAAATGGCAATGGGGGGGTTCGAACGGCCCTCCCCCCTCCCTCCCTACTGGCATCCGACGACGGCGAGCGCCAGCGCCGGCGCCGGCGCCGTCGGACAGCGACGACGACGACGATGACGACGACGATGATCGAGCCTAAGTAGGATGCTATTAAGGCTGGATCGAGACCTAAGTAGATTCTATTAGAGCTGGATCGAGCCCTAGTAAGATTCTATAAGAGCGCGATATAGCTATATTCTATTAGAGCTGGATTGGGCCTTAGTAGGATCCAAGTGGAGCTGGATTCAGATACAATACGATGCGACGAATGCTTTGAAACCTTGATCCTGCTCCAATTGAATCCGGCTGGATCTGGCTGGGACTCTGAAAGTTAGATCCACTGATTGTAAGTTTCTATCCGAGCTTGGTCGGGCATTTATACGGTTCTACTAGGGGGAGGGGGGCGGGTCGATTCGAACCCCCCCCTTAGGCGGAGGGGGGGCGGTTCGAACCCCTCCCCCATTCGAAGGCAGCCACACCACCTCTGTCAGAGAGGCTGGTGTCTGGGGGGTCGGGGGGTTCCTCCAGGCGCTTCAAGTGTTTAGGGGGGGAGCTGGGTCCGACGTGTCCAGGGACTTGTTCAAAGATAAAACGTACACGAAACACGTACTGATGTCTATATATAATGTATTTAAATGTGAATGCCTCTGTACATATATCATACATGCAAGCATCCGTGTGTGTACATGTGTACATGTCTACGTACATGTAATAATGTGTGGCATGTATGTACGTACGTGTGCATGTATGTATGTGCATGTGTATGTGTACGTGTGTGTGTGTGTTTGTGACTGTGTATGTATGTGTGCTTGCTTGTATGCTTGTATATGCATGTGCATGTGTATGTATACGTGTATGTGTATGTCTTTGTGACTGATTATGTTTGTATGTATGTATGTATGTATGTTTGTTTGTATGTATGTATGTATGTATGTATGTATGTATGTATGTATGTATGTATGCTTGCATGCGCGGATGTTTGGATGTACGTATGTATGTGTTGCGTACGGGTGGATGTATGTGTGGATGTATGCATGGTTGTATCTGTGTATGGTTGTCTGTAAGTATGTGCGTATGTATGTATGTATGTATGTATGTATGTATGTATGTGTGTGTATGTATGTATGTATGTTTGTATGTATGTATGTATGTATGTATGTGTGTATGTATGTATTATAATTCCTTCCTCTAGCCCTCCCTCCTTCACCCTTCACCCCATCCCCAACAGGCCTCCACTTTTGTAGGTGTCCGCCGAGAAGGAGCATAATTGGCCTCTCCCCTACAGGTGGTCTCCTTGACCGAGATGCACAAGGTGACGGCGTGGCAGGTCAGACCTTGATTCCATAGTAGTTCCACCAAGTGCGCAGCAACTCAGCATGCCAAGATTCCAGTGCTCCCACACACGATCCTGAGAATTACTGGGCTTGCGATGTTTCCTCATTGATTTGAAACATGAAGGTTGAACGGTCCTGACTTTTCCGTGCACAGAGAGAGCAGCAGAGCTCCGAGGTCGGCCCGAAGAAATGGTATCAAGAAAACAAAAGCAAAAAATGGGGAAAGGGAGACCACGGCCTCCGACGACTCGATATTTTCCGAGCCTCGGGGCCCTGAGGCTTCTCGACCCCCTCCCAGGGTCGTTCTCGGACGCTCCTGGGCTCGAAACGCTCCCGGAGGCCGAAAGTTCCCGACAGACCAAGTGCAAACTATACTCTCGAGTCCTTGGAGGTCTGGGGAAGGGGGAGGGACGAGAGAGGCGTAGCGGTCAGCACGCTCGCCGCAGGTCGGCCTGTTTGCTGGCATCGGGCCGCTCTTCACCGCCGTCGCGAGCCTCGGGGCCGGCGTCTTTGCGGACCGGTTTGGCCGCAGGCCAGCCGCCTCTTCCTCCCTGCCTCATCTTGTGCCTGCTCATCCTTCCTCCTCCTTCTCTTCCTCCTCCTTCTCCTCCGGGCTTGGCTTTTTTTTCCCCCCCGAGGCTTTTTGTTTTTCCCCCGGGGGGGGCTCAAGGGGGGTCTGGGGGGCTTTTTTGTTCCCCCTGGGGGGGGAGGGGGGGCGGGTGGGGGGGCCGGGGGCCTCGAGGCTTTTATTTTTTCCCTCGTAGGCTTTTTCCTCCTGCCCCCAACTCCCCCGTACAACCTCCAGGCTTTCCCTTCTTCGCACTTCTACTCCCCCCCCCGCGCTCCTCTTCCTTCCCATGGCCCTCTGCTCCCCCACCCACCTCGTTGTCGTCCCCCTGCCCTCCCCTGGACCTCCTTGCCTGTCCTTCGACGTCGTCTTCAGAATGTCAAGAATAGCTTGTCTCATGGGGTCGCAAATTCTTGTCTAGAGCAGCAGAGGCGGCACAACTGGTGCAGGAAATTGATGGTACCAGTGTCTACACTAGCGCAGGATAGAAACACCCTGTATGTCACAAACTTTTTCTTGCAAGAGGTCAGGAGAATGACGAACACAGGTAAGGACTCGCTTGAACAAGGTACGTGATGAGTGCAGACGGTAGAGAGATTCATTCAACTTGTTCGTGCAGTCTGTTGGCCCATGTTGCATTACCATTGCCATTTGCTCGTGTGTTCGTGACGGGCGAGAAGTTGATGGGCGGTGACAGTTGCCCAGATAATTTGCTGAAAGCTCCCGTGGGGGAGAAGCAGACGCTGGGAAGATTGAGGGCTACACTCAACATAATATACCCTCACCAAAGTTTGACAATCGAAACCCTAAAGCACAAGAAGACAATACTTGTGCAGCACGACGGACGCTGATGTTACGCTGAGCCCCTTCGTAGGGTCTCGAAGCATCTTGGAGGGGTCTCTGGGGGTCTCTAGACTGCTTTGAGTAGGATAGATGCTGGTGAAAATATGCGCTCTCCTTTACATAAATGCGAGGCTACCCTCGAACAATAGATGAAAGAGCTCGTGATGCGCAGGATACGGAGAAGGATGAGGGGGGGAATGAGGAGGGACACGGAGGGGAGGGGACAGAGCAAAATTCAGAAGGAAGAGTAGGTGGAAGAGAACGTTGGAGGGTACACAGCCCCATCAGAAGTTCACCAGCAGACAGGACGAGAAGATTGACCCGCCACCGTGATTGGGTCGCGGACAAGTTTCTGGGAGGCTTATGGGAGTCTCTTTGGAGACGTCCGGGGGTTCTCTTGGGGGGCCTAGTCTTCGTGGCCTCTGGGGGGCCTCTCGGGGGCCTGATGGCGGTCTCGAAAGCCATCTTTAGGAGAAGGGCTCAAAATGTCAGTTCGGGTTCCCCGTCTTGGGGCGTGTTCGGGGAGCTTCTTGGGCCCTCTTACGGGGGCCTCTTGGGCCGTCTTAGACCTCTCTGGGCCTCTCCTGGGACCCACTTGAGTTGTCTTTGGACGACCTTGGAAGCCTCTTCGGCCGCCTTGGGCTGTCAGAAGATCGAAAAGGCGGGAAGCCAAAATCCGGCAGGAACCTGAGGAAAATCAATGGTGGTCAGCAAGTTTGGGGGGGCCCTCGTGGGACTGCCTTGGACCAGCGTGGGGCTATAGTTAAGCATATTGGGGCTGTCCTTGGGTCACGTCGGGGCCTGCCACCCATTGATCCCAGCCCCAGGGCCGCTGGCGTGCTCTCTTGGAGACCCCGTTGGGGCGCTCCTGGACCGCTCTGAAGGCAAGATATATGAAGAGTGCAGACGTTAGGGGAGATGAACTAAACGGAGAAAGCGGCGCCAGACGTAAAAGTATAGAAGGGAGGCTGGTTGGGGAAGAGTGTAGAAGATGAGGGAAGGGCAGGGGCGAGTACTTCAAGAAGCGTCGAGAATGTAAAGGGATGCTTGGGGAGGCTTCGGCGAGGCAAGCATGCGAAGGCGTAAACGCCACGGAGGTAACCGGAGAGGCTCTGCAGAGAGAGGGGGGGGGCAGCGCAGATGCAACCCCTAAATTTCGGAGTTGTTCCCGGGTGTTGCGTCGATGACTATGATAGATGAGAGAAGTGGGTTGAGAAGGAGATGGAGGGGAGGGATAGAAGAAGAAAAATGAAGAGGCGACGGAGGATGAAGTGGAGGGGGAGTAGTCTTCCAGGGCCCTCTCTGGACGTCGCCCTGGTGTCTGCTAGCGATTTTGCACACCACTGAGAATCCCCAGGCGGGAAAGGATGGATTGTAGGAGGCACTGGGCCAGAATGGCCCATTCCTTCATCCCTCCTTCCTCTTCATTGCTATCCTCCATCCTCCCAGGGGGCTCCACAGGGAATTTGCTTTTGGTGGGCGGTTCGCCGATAAACCTTACAGAATCTGCACCCCGTCTCGCTGACAGGGGCGCCTTCCACGAGGCGAGTTCGTAGCTCACCATCGCTCCAGCGCCGCGATGAAGAGGTTGAGCGGGAATTGGCGAAGCACCAGGAGACTCAAGGCAGCGCGGGATCGACAGCTGGCGGCACGACATGCAGAGTGGATTGGCAGCGAGAGCTCGGGTTCGATCTCCGACTTCTGGTAGTCTCGTCTTCTGCCATCGGTCAGTTTTGTTCCTGTTCGACTCGTCTCGTGCACGGATCCTCTGCGCTCCTCCGGCTCTGCCTCCGAGATCCTCCTCGCCCGCAGCGGAGCAGACGAGGCAGAGTTGGGTCGACGGTTTCTCCCTCCGAGTGGCCCTGCGTTGCCACGGCCTGTCCCGCGTCGCCCTCCCCAACAGCAGCAAAGCGGCAGGAGGAGGAGGAGGAGGAGGAGGAGGGAGGAGGAGGAGGAGGGAGGAGGAGGAGGAGGAGGAGGAGGAGGAGGAGGAGGAGGAGGGGGAGGAGGAGGAGGGAGGAGGAGGAGGAGAGGAGGAGGAGGAGGAGGAGGAGGAGGAGGAGGGAGGGGAGGAGGAGGGGAGGAGGAGGGAGGAGGGGGAGGAGGAGAGGAGGAGGAGGAGGAGGAGGAGGAGAGGGAGGGAGGAGGAGGAGGAGGAGGAGGAGGAGGAGGAGGAGGAGGAGGAGGACTGCAAAGCGGCTCCTCAGGCCTCTTGCTGCCGCCTCTGTTCTCCTTGCCCTCTGCGGCTCTGGCGTCCTGGCCGTCGCCTTCACCTACAAGGACCCCTGCGCGGGTGCCACGGCTTGCTGCTGCCCAGACATGGCTCGTGTGGTCTCGCGCGTGCTCGTCGAGGTCAGGGCGTGCGAGCGTGCCTGGAGGGGAGTCGATGTGCCGTGCTCGTGGTCGGATGGCCAGTGCGGAGCTCCGCGGGCCCGCGCACGGATCTGGCACGCCAGGCCAGACAAACGAAGGCGCTTCGACACCGAAGACTGGTACACACCCTGGCGTGTTCGATCTGAGTGTTGCATGATCTCCTTTCGTAGTCCCGTTGCCTGGCGACGTATGTTCTTCCATGAGTCTTGGTGATGCTCAATTCTGTTGCGTAGCTGTCGCATGGCACGACCTCTTGCAAAGGTATTATTTGCAGGCGGTCCTGCGTTGGAGCGAGACCGCGTGTTTCGTTCGGACGCTCGTCAAAGAATGGTGCGACGATTTGCTGACATTTCCACGCCGAGTGGATTTACATCCCTGCATCACTTACGATAAAGCGGGGCCTCGTTCCGGATTTCTTGCCGCAATGCCCATGTGTGAGAAAGAGTGATGTGTTTTGATCGTTGGATGGCAGGGTATGGCACCCCAGAGCGCGTCTTCATAAAGACAGCATCGCATTGCATCGCACGGCATGGCGTAGCACGGCATAGCACAGCGCATCATGACAAGAGATTGAAGATCACAAGATATCAGATCCCTACTCATGGGACAGCCTGGCCTACCGTAACATGGCTCCTTCTCCTCGGCCGATGAAGTTGAAGAAGGTGTGGCACCTCTTTTCCATTGATCAGAGCACGCAGACACATGTGACAGTTTCCTTCGCATTGGCGAGGGAGACCGCATCTGCTGCAGATTTGTATGGGAAAAGCTCCCGGATATGACAGTCGCCTTCTCCAGGGAAGGCCATGACATGCGAAAGTGCTCTCCCCTTGGGGCCCACATGCGAATCTGAGCAACTCAACGACCTAACACGTGAAAGCGTATTTCTGTCTTGTGCTCAGCGTGGTTTCAGTTTGTTTCGAGCTTCAGCCTGATTGCAGCTTGCTTTGAATATCAGGTTCAGCTTACTATGGGCCATCTGGCAAAGCGTCATTGGGGTCACACCAGGCTTTGACCTTGCATGTTTGAAAGTTGTTCGTTCTCATTATTAGTATTATTATTCGTAGTATCACGATTCTGCGCTGAAGCTCCCCGAACGCCAGCACGGGGCCTCCTTGAGGCACTCATGATCGGCCGCATTTTGCATGGACTATCCATCGGCGCTGCGATGGTCTCTACGTGCTTGTACACTGCAGAGGCGGGCGGTCTGCGTGCAGGGGGGCATGTGTTCTGACGCAGGGATGTGCGTCGATCGCGGGGATGGCCTGTGATAGCATGAATGAGCGAGTGGGAAGCAGTGACATTCCAGAGGGTGACACGTGGATGTCGAGCTGGAGGTGAAGGAGAATATCGGGTGGGCGCCACTCTCTCTTCTCCAGTCCCCCCAGGTGGAGCCATCTTCGGAATTGAGGCTTCGTTGGGCTTTCCAGGAGCCTATCAGGGGCATCTTGGGACCTCGGGGGGGGCCACCTTTGGGCCTATCTTACGCGATACTGGGGCGAGCTTGGGGCCTCCAGGGCCTTGGGAGTCATATCGGGCGATGTGGGTGGCGTCTTGGGGCCGCTGGAGACCACATTGCGGCCCTATGGGGCGGTATTAGAGGCATGTTGGGGCACCATTGTTCGCGGCGTGAGTTGCGCCTCCAAGCTGCACTAAAACAGGTGCAGGGGCGAGCCGCGCAGCAACAGCAAGGGTGAGGGGCAGAATCAAGGACGGCATCGTCCCCAATGCAGTCAAGGGGAGCAACGCAAATATGCAGGCAAGAGTTGGCCCTTTTGGGGTCAAGACATGGAGAGGCACCCGCCCAGATAGTTTTCATCTCACACTGTATGACGCGTTGCTTCATTCCCTCCTCTTGTTCCTTCTTATCTCGTTCTCTGGTTCACTCCTTCGTCCTTCCGTCCCTCCTCGTCTTGTTCCTCAATTGTTTTTGCCTCGTTCCCCCAGCGCCCTGTATTGGAGGTCGCTCAGGGCATTGTGGCCCTGCTGGCAGCGGCAGCTCATTCGATAGTCGCAGTACAATCTCCCCGAACGAAAATCACGACATGCATCGGCTCAATGAAAGTTCCTTGAATTTTCATGACGACGCTGGCAGGCGGAAGTCGACGGAAGTAAAACGAGGCGGAAGACGGGGGAAGGCCGTCGGAAGGTTTGCGGGTGTCAGCGGAAGTGAACGACGCCCCTTCCGAACCCCCTTACCCCCGTAGAAGCCTAGCAACGTAGTCTTCTTCCGTGGGCCGGGCGGGATCCCGCCTGGCTTATTCCGCCTTAATATCATAAGTTTAGTTCAGGACGATTAAAGTCCCACCCATTAAAAATGGTGTAGAGTAAAATCCTGGGTCGTTCACGGATCCCGCCATGCTGGGATCGGCTCGAAGTAAAGTGGGGGTCATAAGTTGCAGTATCTTTGCCGTGTTGGGGCCATCTTGCGGTCATTTTGAGATCATCTCCCGGTCGCGTTTAGATCACGCAGTCGTCGCACGGTCATTCTGGGGTTTTTTTGGGCGCGCTTGGACCCATCTTGTTGCCATCGGGCCATCTCGGCGTCACACGTTGCTCATGTGTTTCGTCATCTGCGAGTCGGCCTGAGACGGTCCAGAATCCATGGCGGGATCGTGTTGGGGTGGCATCATCCTGGGGTCGTCTGGACGTTATCGTCCGTGGCCTGAGGCCCTCCTGGAAGCATGTGGTGGCCATGGGGCGTCTTGGGATCGCGTGCGTGGGAGCGCTGAGCACGCGCGCGCGCGACTCTTCATCTTGCTGACGGGTATACATAGATCTTCTGCCGCTTGCGAGTTTCCGAGGAAACTTTTGCTGGAGCCATGTAAGCCGCGAATTCCAGCAGACAAAGGAGGCAACATAAAAATAAGGAGGAGGGGGAGCATGAGGAGGAACAGGACGAGCAGGGGGGCACGATGGAAAAAATGAGGAAGAGGAGGAATGAATAACAATGAGCATGGAAGCGGATATCCATCGTGCGCCCTTCACCGAGGCACGCCAAATACACGCCACGCCCCACGCCAAGGATGGCCTTAGCCAGGATGGGTGCTGGTGTGTGGTCGGCGCCCCCCTGCCGGAGGGGCCAATATCGATCACATGGGGGGCGGCATCGGTTTGATCCAGAGGACCTAGAGTCGGGTGTTGCTAAAAGTGCACCTGGCCCAAGGTGCCCCCAGGATCCCCAAGGAGGCCCCCACGGCCTCCGGAGCACCCCTCGCGAGGTCCAGAGGGCCCCGAGGGGTCCAAAATCGAACGAAAACCTTGGGGCATCTTGGTGTGCCAGGGGCACACTTAGAAACAACCGGCAGAGCTCCGGCGACGTGCTCCTCTCTCGACGTGGGCATCCGGACTCGGGGCCTAAGAGACGGGGGTCAGTGCAAACGGGGGTCAGCCAGGGCACCTGATCCTGCAGGATCCTGCGAAGACCCCTTCTGGCTGACCCGGGCTAGCGAGCCGCTCCTGGCCGCGAGGCAGCCGCGCAGATTGGCTGACCCGGTTTTGCGAAGACCCGCGTTGCAGTTTTTTTTCCTGCGTTGCAGTTTTTTGGTGTCCTGCTGACCCGGGTCTGGATTGACCCAGGTCAGAAGATCCCCGACTGTACCCTTCGCTGTTCCTTACCCTCTCTCGGGCCGAACGAAGGGGGGGGGGATAGGGAAAGGCGGGGGTACGAAATCTGCTGCATGCAGCTGGTTTCGGCCCCGCCGCCGGGCCCATTCCGCGACGGGCGTCTGGGCCTCCCGGGAGGGCCCGCCCGGCCCGAGCCGTTCCGTGGGCCGCCGTCGGGAGCCCCACGCGGGGAGCCCCGCCGGAGGCCCCACCGGCAGGGTCCGCATGGCGGCGCCGCACCCACGTCGGCCCACACCGCACACGCTTCGGGTGAAGTCGGGCGCGTCCCTCTCCAGGGGGGATACTCAAGACTAGTCAAAAAAATAGTCTGGGGACGATGTTTTGATTATTTGTTGGATATATTAGGAGGGTATGTTTTGAGTATGTTTTGTTTTTCGTTCAAAATCCCCCTATAGGGGGACACGCCCGACTTCAGCTTCGGGCCATCGTGGGGAGTTCCGCCGAAGACTCCAGCGGCAGGGCCAGCACGGCGGGCGGCAAGCGAGCAGGGGAGCAAGCGAGCCGTACACCAGCTGGTGCGTGGACAGGGCAGGAGCCGTGAGCGACAAGAGCGGCTCATGCTAAAAAGGTTCTCCAAAGCTCAGCTGTGAGAATGTGACTGCGCAGCGCGTGACTGAGCGGTAGCTGATGTTGTTTGAACATCACCAAATATGGCAGTTGCATGTTTCAGCATGGTCGGGGCAAGCTCTCTGCTCGGCGCACCGACGAGCCTCTCGCCGGCCGCTGTCTTCGGCGTAAGAGTGTCTGGTGCGAATGCGCAGCGACGCAGCATGGCGGCACCGCACCCACGTCGGCAAACATCTCGCACGTGTCATGGCCCAGTGGGGGCCCCTTGAGGCCGAAGACCGCCCGAAGCCCTCCGACCTGATTTCTGCATCGCCGCGCGAGGAGGTCTGGGCGGTCCAGGGCCACGCGCAGGGGGGCAGGGAGAGGGGGGAAGGCTTCTCAGAAGCAGCATCCTAAGAAGCCTTCCCCCCTCCCCCTACCTCCTTGCGCGCGCCGCCAATGTCCAGGGGAGCGAGCGCGGGCGGGGGCCCCCCAAGGCCGAAAACGGCCCAAAGGCCTCCGTCGTCCTGTTTGTCGCAGCGCGAGGCGGTCTGGGTGGCTGGGGGGGGAGCGAGCGCGCGTCGGGGCCTCCGTCGTGGTTCTTCTGCCGCAGATCGCGCGGAGAAGGTCTTGGCGTCGCGAGGCTGGGCGTTCGATAATGGACCCCTTTGTTGAGCGTAAGCGTCCAGCTGTCGCGCCGAAGAGCGCTGGAAACCGCAAAAGACCGCCAGAAGCCGCCGAAGATCCTCAGAAGACCGCCGAAGACCGCCGAAGATCGCCGAAGACCGCCCGAAGACCGCCGAAGACGGCCCAGGAGCAAAGGGTAACAAGCGGTCCATGGACGAACACGCAGGCGAGGGAGCGAGCGCGAGGCGCGCGGCAGCAGGTCTCCCCGAGCCGGTGGCGAGGCGCAGTCGGCACCGTCACCGAAGTCGCCATCAACGCAGGAGGGAGGGGAGGGAAGCCGGCGCCCGCGACGCTCGCGGGCGGCCCAGGGAGCAGGAGGAGAGCAGGAGGAGGAGGAGGAGGAGGAGGAGGAGGAGGAGGAGGAGGAGGAGGAGGAGGAGGAGGAGGAGGAGGGAGGAGAGGAGGAGAGGAGGAGGAGGAGGAGAGGAGGAGGAGGAGGAGGAGGAGGAGGAGGAGGAGGAGGAGGAGGAGGAGGAGGAGGAGGAGGAGGAGGAGGAGGAGGAGGAGGAGGAGGAGGAGGAGGAGGAGGAGAGGAGCAGGAGGGAGGAGGAGGAGAGGAGGTGGAGGAGGCGGAGGAGGTGGAGGTGAAGTGGGAGGGCGAGAGAGGATGAGGAGGAGAAGGGAGGGAGGAGAAGGAGGAAAAGGAGGCGGAGGAGGAGGAGGAGAAGGAGGAGAGGGAGAGAAGGAGGAGAAGGAGGACAAGGGGCAGAGGAGCAGGAGAAAGAGGAGAAGGAGGAGCAGAGAGCAGCAGCAGGAGGAGCAGGAGGGGCAGGAGGGGGAGGAGGAGCAGGAGGAGCACGAGGAGCAGGAGGAGCAGGAGGAGCAGGAGGAGGAGGGGGAGGGAGAAAGAGGAGGAGGAGGAGGAGGAGGAGGAGGAGGAGGAGGAGGAGGAGGAGCAGCAGCAGCAGCAGCAGCAGCAGCAGCTGCAGGAGCAGCAGCAGCAGGAGGAGGAGGAGGGGGGGTGGGAGGGGGAGGGGGAGGGGGAAGGGGCGGGGGGCACAGTCGAATGTCGTAGCAGAGCATAGCATTACATGGTATAACATGGTGTTGAATATCAACGCGTATTCTGACATAGCATGGCGTGGCGACGCCCCAAAGTGGGGGGGCTTCGGCGGTCCAAAAAATCAGTGAACCGATACCGAGTGCGTAATCACTTCCGATGGTTGTTTCGGGCGGGGACCATTTTTTACATTTTTGGGCCCATCTGGAAGGACCGAAACCATGCCGTGGCATGGCGCTGGAAATGATGACGCCAGCGCTGCAGCGGGAGCTCGGAACGAGCGGAAGCGCGGAAATGAGGCCAGCGCTGCAGCGGGAGCACGATTCGGAGGACGCGTATCCTGACATGGCATGGCGTGGCGACGCCCCAAAGTTGGGGGAGCGGCCTCGGCGGTCCAAAAAATCAGCGAATCGACACCGAATGCGTTAGCACTTCCCATGGTTGTTTCGGGGAGTGACTATTTGTTATAGTGTTGGGCCGATTTGGAAGGACCGAAAACCATGCCGTGGCATGGCGCTGGAAATGATGACGCCAGCGCTGCAGCGGGAGCACGATTCGGCACGAGCGGAAGCTCGGAAATGAGGCCAGCGCTGCAGCGGGAGCACGATTCGGAACGAAAAAACAGTATGCGGAGAGGGCCAGCCATTTCCCAGACGTCATCGGGGGAGAGAGGAGAGGAGTATTCATGTAGTGTAAGTGTGGTTGTGGAAGGGGGAGGGGGAGGGGCAAGCTAGGCGCGCTCGCGTCATATCTGATGTCCTACCCCTCCCTCCCATCCCTCCCCATGGCGTGGATCTCCTGTCTATTCGCACAGTCGGATGTCGCAGCATGGCATAGCATTACATCGCACGGCATGGTGTTGAGGATTAACGCGTAGCATGACACAGCATGGCGTGGCGACGCCCCAAAGTGGGGGGGGGGGGCGTCTGCGGCCCAAGAAATCAGCGGATCGCCACCGAATGCGTTATCATTTCCAATGGTTTTTGTCGGGGGACCATTTTTTTGATGTTGGGACCGATTTGGAAGGACCGAAAACCATGTCATGGCATGGCGCTGGAAATAATGACGCCAGCGCTGCAGCGGGAGCACGATTCGGGACGAGCGGAAGCGCGGAAATGAGGCCAGCGCTGCAGCGGGAGACGGTCCAGCACGAGCGGAAGCGCGGAAATGAGGCCAGCGCTGCAGCGGGAGCACGATTTGGAACAAGCGGAAGCGCGAAAACGAAGCCAGCGCTTTAGTTGGAGCAACATTGTGAAACAAGAAATACGGGAATGTCCTGCGTGTAGAAAAATTACACGGAGCGGTGGGTTGGATATCTTCCAGACGTCATCAGGGGAGAGCAGAGAGAAATATTCAGAATGTGTAATTGTGGAGGGGGGGAAGGCGCAGGAGCAGGAGGAGGAGGAGGACCAGTGTAAACCCAAGAGTCATCAACGATGTTGGAATAAACCCTCCCTCCAAGCTCCCTCTTCATAGGCCCCTGCAACGCTTGATTTCCTCTGAGGGAACTGCCCCGTTGGAAGACAGCCGTTTGAAGACCCTGAAGCATGCCAAAACATTGTGTTCTCGGGACTTCAACGCCACGGATCAACATGATTGTTGCGTCTTGAAGTTTTTGAATCGTCCCAGAAAGCCGTTCTTGGGACTTCAACACCGCGATGCAATGAAATTGTTGCACCCCCGTAATCCTGAGTCTTTCCACAATATAATTTCTGACACGCTGATCATGGGATTCCGTGAAACGTTTGCAAATGTGTAAAACGAATGCGCGCGGCGCTAAGGCGAAAACCACATTTTGAAAACGATTCGCTATCAATACACGAAACTCTTGCAAATGTTTAAAGCGAATGTTCGCGGCGCTAAGGCGAGAGCCACATGTTGAAAACGACCCCCCCTCCATCTGTGAAACGGTTACCAATGTTTAAGCGTCAGGGTCATAAATGGTGACGAAGTCTCAAGCGAAACGCCCGGCCCGCCCTCAAAATTGGCTTCGGGGTGCGACAGGGAGATATTAATTATAAGGGAAAGGAATGGAGGAGGAGGAGGAGGAGGAGGAGGAGGAGGAGGAGGAGGAGGAGAAGGAGGAGGAGGAGGAGGAGAAGGGGAGGAGGACGAGGACGGGGAGGAGGAGGAGGAGGAGGAGGAGGAGGACGAGGAGGAGAAGGAGAAGGGGGAGGAGGACGAGGACGAGGAGGAGGAAGAGGAGGAGGAGGAGGAGGGGGAGGGGGCGGCGGGAGGAAGAAGGGCAGGGGAGGAGGAGGAGAAAGGGAAGCAGAGGCGCTTGGCCCACCGCGGTAGCTCCAGGGAGGGCGCGCGCCTCTTCTCTGCAGCTGGAGCTCGGCAGGAGCTCCCGGACGGCGGCTCCGACTCCCCGGCACCCAGACTGTTCTCCCGTGCTCTGCCGCGCTCGGTGCCCGAGGCCGCTTGCGACCCCCTCACCCGCCGACGCTCGGCGGTCGGGCCCTGTCCCGTTCGCCCCCCGCGGCCGCCCTCTGCTATCCCAGTCGCCCTCACGCCCCGTGCCCGGCGCGCCCCCGCTGGTACCGACCCCCGCAGCTGCGTTCGCCGGCGCTGCGGATTCAGAAAAAAACCGTGCCCAGAGTTGTGGCCCGAGTCCTTGGCGGCAGGAGGCATCTCAAGGGGGTGCCTCGGTGAGCGCGGGCGGCGGGTCCCCGATTCGTTCCAGCCGTGAGGGAGGGAGTCGTGGTCCTTGCGTACCCCTCCGGGGAACCGATCGGCTTCGGACGCCCTTTTTCGGGAGATCGTCGAGACGATGGGTTCTTTCTTTCTCTTCCATGGTCGTGGTGGCGCCGCGGGGGGGAGGGGGGACCCCCATCATAACGAGATGGCACGTCCATCTCTGCGCCAGGTCCGACATGGAAAGCACGAGTGGAGTTCGGCATGAGGCGGTGCAATCGAGGTTGCAGATTTGCTCCAGCGCGGGCACTGGTAAGCGACGCGCGTGCGCCCAAGTGCAACGACAAGAAGGAGCGCAAGCGGTCGGCGCGATAATACACATGTTACTCGCCTCCCGCTATTCGGGTTGATGCTTAACTTGGGCCCTCAGCTGTGTTTCTCTTCTCGCCCGGAGCCAGAAACGGTACGGCGTGCACGCCCTTTCAATGCTTCCAGATTATGTCCAAAATCGGCATTGGTCGAGCTCGTGTTCAGGATGGACTAGTCAGAGATGGCATTACGAAAGCCTTGCCCAGTAGGGGCTCATGTGAGGAAGCAGCGGGGGCGGCAATCTGGGCAGGTAGCGCCAGTAAGGGACACATGGGCTGACGTCGAGAGTTGAAAGCCAACTTTGTCGGTAATCAGAGTTGCTGAGGCCAGTGGAGTTGGTAGTGCCGGAGCCAGCGTTGGCAGCAATCGGGTCTGGCGAGGCTGGTGGGGGCCAGCGGGGGTTGGTGCCGAGCACCAGAGATGATGGCAGTCAGCACTAGTGTAAGCAGTAGAGGCGGATGTCGAGAGTTAGCTTTGGCGGCGATCGGGGCTATCGGGGTCTACTGCAGTCTCGCAGGGGCTAGAGTCATCGATAATGGCAATCAGGGCTCTACTGGGTTCTGGTTGGGGGGCTGGCGAAGGGGACGCGCAATGGCGTCAAAAACGATTGGTGCCGCTAGTCTGAGGACTTGCAGGGGATGGGTGGGTGGTTGGGCAGATCCACGGGGACCACAAATCCCGCACATCCTCCATTGGGAAACTCAGATCGACAATTGTTTGGGAATGTCTAATCGACCTGTTTCTGGTAGAACTGGATGCTACCCCTCGCATCCAAACCGTTTCATCAGGAGCTCTCGTGCATTGGCGACGATTCAGCTTGGGCCAGCGGAAGGGACAGGAAGGGTCCGAATGCCCAAGCGACTGGAGGGGAGACGGGGTGCAGAGAGGGAAGGAAGGGAGAAAGTTGGGCGGAAAAAAGTGGAGATTGCTTGGTTTGAGAAGGGTGTGGCATTACATATGTTAAGGGAGATGAAGAAGCGAGACAGAGATAGGGAGAGAGACAGAGAAAGAGAGAGAGACTCGACTGACTGACTGACTGATTGACTGACAGAGATGGATAGGGAGGGAATGGGAGAGAACGGGAGAGAGAGAGAGAGAGAGCGAGCGAGCGAGCGAGCGAGCGAACGCGCGAGAGGAGAGAGAGGAGGCAGAAAAAGATAAACAGACAGAGAGAGAGGAGGAGAGAGAGAGAGAGGCAGATAGAGAGAGAGGGGGCATAAGAGAGAAAGAGAGGATTCTATATATATACACATATATACCTATACGACCACCCTTCGGGTGATAAGGAGGTTGTAGGGGGGGAGAGGGGGGGGGAACCAACATCTGACTCAATCGATCTCACTATCGATCTCACTCAACGGGACACCACGGGACACCACGGTACACTCGTCGATCTCACTACCGATCTCACTCAACGGGCCACCACGGGACACCACGGGACACGGCGGGACACCTCTCGATCTCACTATCGGTCTCACTATCGATCTCACTATCGATCTCACTCAGCGGGACACCATAGGACACCACGGGACACCTCGGGACACCACATCGATCTCACTATCGATCTCACGATCGATCTCATTATCGATCCCACTCAACGGGACACCACGGGACACCTGTCGGTCTCACTATCGATCTCACGATCGATCTCACTCCACGGGACACCACGGGACACCACGGGACAACGGCGGGACACCGCGCGGCACCGGCCGCCGGAGGAGAAACATTTGGTCCGGCCGCGGCCCAGCCACAGGAGGATTTCGGGACACCAGCGGGACACCGGCGGGACACCGCGCGGCACCGGCCGCCGGAGGAGTTACACTTGATCCAGCCGCGGCCCAGCCACAGGAGGATGTCCTCTCGCCCGCCTGCACAGCTTCGCCTCGCCCGCACGCACGCACGGCACGCACGACAAGAACCCGAAACCGAAATCGATTTCCCGGTAGTGGGGGTCTCCGTTTCACGTCGGACTCACCCCCCAACCTCCGACACATATATATCTATATATATATATATATATATATATGTATATATATGAGAGAGAACGAGCGAGAGAAGAGAGAGAGAGAGAGAGGGGGAGATATAGAGAGAGATAGAGAGGGGAAGAGAGGGGGAGGGAGGGAGGGAGGGAGTGGGAGTGGAAGAGGAAGAGAAAAGGAGAGGGGAAAAACTGCGAGAGAGAGAGAGAGTAAGGGAGAAGACACGAGGGACGAAGTGAGGAGGAAGGAGGAAGAAAGGGAGGCAAAACGAGGCATGAGGGGTGGGAAAGAAGTACAATGACGGCGGCAGCGTGAGAGGACCAGGGCAAGATAGGGGTGAGGCGGGGGGTAGGAGAGACGTCGGGCAAAGATCACAAGGAGAGGGGCCGAACGGTCTTACACTGTCCACCGGTGCTTGGCTGAAGTTGGGATCCGCGGTGCGGATGCTAGTTGTTGTTGTGTCATGTTAGGGTTGGTGTTGTGTTGTCGTCGTCCCACCCGCGACCCGCCCCATGACCCACCCGCGACCCACCCGCCACGCACTTGCGACCCACCCGCGACCCACCCACGTTGTTTTGACAAAAAATCCACGCTTGCGGCGGGCTCGTCGCACAATATGTACAGATCGGCGCCCGCGGCGGGCTTCTTCACATTTCCTTTTGAGCCCCGCCGACTGTCGACGACCACCCCCCCGTCCCCTCACTCTTTTCCGCAATTGCGGTGGCGATGGCATGTCAGTCGACTCCTGGTGTAATCGCACCTTGTGTGCTTGGTTGCCCCTCGGGCCTTTGCTGGAATGTTCGCGGCACGTGGTGCCCGCTCCCCAAAGGTAACCTTAACGCTCTTCTGCTCAGTCGCCCAATCAGCCATGCATGATGCATCGGGATGGCAGCTTTTGGAACATTGTGGTGTATACATTTCCCGTGCTCTTTGAGAACCTCCCCCCTCTCACTCACCCTCGGCTCGCCTTTTCGCATTTCGAACACCTTCCCTATCCTCCCGTCAATGTCTCCCTCATCCTCCTTTCGCATCCATCCTAGGCAATTTCTCCTCCCACTTCATATCCCCTCCCACCCCTGTTCCTTCCTCGCGTTCCCTCCGCTTCCGTCCTCCAAACCGGCCACAGGTAGAGCCCGCGGAGTCTAGGGCCGTATCGTTGGGCAGAACGTTGTGACATTCCCTCTCCCCCCTCGCCGTGCCCATTTCAAATCAATGTTGTCTTTCTCCTCTTCCGCCTCCTGTCCTCCTACCCCTCGCCACCCTCCCCTCATTCAACCTCTCCGCTTCCTCCCCCCTCCATCGTTTCACCCTCGCTCCTGGCACCAGACCCGTTTTAGGGCGGGCGGCCATCAGAGCCAGGCGAGGGGGAAGTGCGCCCACCGCGGCCGACATCGTCGCGCGGTGCGCCGCTATCGGCCCGCTGCGCGCGCGAGGCATGCCGCCCCATCACCCTCCCCCCCCCCCCTGGGCCGCTGCGAAGCCTGCCCTGGCGAGGCATCTTGTTGGTCCTGGCTGGGGCGTACATGCTCTCGCAGGGCCCTGGGGCGGCGGCGGACGCGGACTGGCGCTGGGCCGCCCGCGTTGGCGTGCTCCTGTCGGCGGTCCAGCTGGCGCTGGTGCAGGCCGCCTGCCCGCTCGCTCTCAGCCTCCCTCTTCCTCCTCCTCTTCCTCCTCCTCCTCCTCCTCCTCTCCTCTCCTCTCCTTCCTCCTCCTCCTCCTCCTCCTCCTCCTCCTCCTCCTCCTCCTCCTCCTCCTCTCCTCCTCTCCTCCTCCTCCTCCTCCTCCTCCTCCTCCTCCTCCTCCTCTTCCTCCTCCTCCTCCCTCCCCCTCCTCCTCCTCCTCCTCCTCCTCCACCGGCGGACGCGGGTCTGCCGCGCGCCGGAAGCACTGTGGTCGGGAGCCGGCGCAGCCCCCCAACCCCAGGACAAGCACACCGCTCAGCGGCATGCAAGCCTCAGAGCCGAGGGGGTGCGCCGACCGGGGCCTATACCTCGCTTACACGGGAGCTTGGCGCCGACGGACAGCATGGCGTGGCCGAGCGCGAGCGCCGGTCGCCCGCCCCCGGCGCCGTCCGCAGCTCTGCGCCCCCCGGCCGCCGTCGGGCCCTGGTGGTTCGGCGCCTTGGGCCCCGCGGCCGCTGCGCACCCAGCTCTGTCCGCCCCAGCCGCGGCGGCGCGTCTCCCCAGCGCCGCCCCCCGCGGGGGCAGCAGCGGCAGCAGCGCCGCGCCCGCCAGCGCCCCTGCCAGTCGAGCGCTCAGCTCCGCGCGGCCGCCGCAGCGCCGCCCTGCCCGCGCCCCGCCGTCGGTCCAGCGCGGCGCCGCCGCACGCCCGGCGGGCGGCGCCGTCAGCTCGGCGCCTGCGCGCGCGCGGCTCGGGCGTGGCCCACGGCGTCAGCGGCCTGCCCAGCGGCAGCGGGGCGCCCGTAGCGCAGGTCCGTCAGCAGGCAGCTCAGCCCCCTCCGGGGTTCCCGCGCCGGGCGCCGGCGGCCCAGCCCTGCGCTTGCGTCGCCGCCAGCACCGCGTCGGCGGCGTTGCGCTGGAGGACGCACCCGAGCGACTGGTGCAGTCGCCGGATGGCCGCCGAGCGCTCCGTGTCTTGCGCGGGCGCCAGCAGCCGCGTCAGGGCCAGCGCCTCCTCGCCCAGGCGGCCGTGGTCCTCGACCACGAAGGGCACCACGGCCACCCCGGGGTAGCGGGCCCGCTTGCGCCGCGCCGCAGCCGCCGCCGCCGCGCCGTCCCGCCGCGCAGAGCCGAGCCCGAGCGCGTCCTGCGTGAGCGCGCTCACCACGGTCAGGTCGACCATGAGCGGCTCAGCAAGGCGCGGGGCGTGGACGACGAGGTCCATCCGCGCCTCGGGGCTCGCGGGCGCAGCGTGGGGGAGCAGGACTTCGCGGTGCACGGTGCACCCCTGCTCCTCGCACCACTCCGCGAGAGCCGCGCAGCCCGCGTCGTGGCGGCGGACCAGCCACCCGCCCACGGCGCAGCCGCGCGCGTGCCGCCCCTTGGGGTCCAGCGGCTCGCCGCAGATCCCGCCGTGCGGGTGCCGGTGCTGGCAGAGCCTCGGCTGTCGCGGCCCCGCTGCGCCCGCCTCCAGCGGGGGGCCTGTGCAGCCCGGCAGGTCGAGGTGCAGCCGGTGCCGCAGCGCAATGTCGAACTGCGCGTTGGTCAGTCGGTGGCAGGGCAGCGTCGGCACCTGCAGGAGCGCGCCCGCCCCGGGGCCCCCAGCGGAGCGCAGGGCGGCCGCCGCCAGGGGGTCCGCGGCCGCTTCGTCGGCAGCGAGGCGGGCAGCCGCAGCGAGGGGGGCCGTAGCCAGAGTGTGCTGCGTTGCTGCCAGTGCCTCGTCGCCCACGTGGGCGGTGTCGTCTCCCAGAGCGGCCCGGAGCGTCGCTGTGGCCGCCGGCAGGCTGCGGCGCGCCCAGGGGCTCACCGCGGTCAAGGCGCTGGCGCTCTCCAGGCCCAGCCGCCGCAGGCAGTGCGGCAAGCAGAGGTGCCAAGAGGCGGCGTGCGCCGCGGGGGCCGTGAGCTCCGCGCTCTGCAGCCCTTCGCCCCCGGCCGCGCCAGCGAGGAAGAGTTTCCGGCAAGTGGTGTCGCCCAGCGCCTCGCCCAGGGCGTGCTCGTACTCTGCGGCCAGCGCCCGGTCCAGAGCCCGCGCTTCCTCGCTCGGGAGTCCGCAGGTGCGCGCCAGGAAAGTGTAGTCAGGCTCCTCCTCCTCCTCCTCCTCCTCCTCCTCCTCCTCCTCCTCCTCCTCCTCCTCCTCCTCCTCCTCCTCCTCCTCCTCCTCCTCCTCCTCCTCCTCCTCCTCCTCCTCCTCCTCCTCCTCCTCCTCCTCCTCCTCCTCCTCCTCCTCCTCCTCCTCCTCCTCCTCCTCCTCTCCTCCTCCTCCTCCTCCTCCTCCTCCTCCTCTCGCTCTCAGGCCGCTCCCTCGCGCTCTTGTCCGCCGGACCCTGCCTAGACCTTCTGCCTCCTTCCCGCCCTCCCTTCGTCGCTCGCTCTGTGGCCCGCTCGCCGCTCGGTGCCTCCGTCCTGCGCGCGTTGTCTGCCCTCTCGCTTTCGCCGAGCCCCTCCGTGCCGATGTACAAGCTGTACACGCGTGCATATGTCCTTATGTCTCTCCACGCACATACTCTGGGTTTCTTATTAAGCGTGGGGGTACCCCCCCGACGGGGGTCAACCTCGCCTCGTCGTCGCGCCGCGACGGGGGTCGAAGCGCCTTCGGCGCGCGGTGGCTACCCGCGACGGGGGTCGATGTGGGGTTGTCGGCGGGGGTGACGCCCCCCCGACCTTATTCAGAAACTCGGAGTATGTGTATGTCCTTATGACTCCCCACGCACATACGTATAGGCATGCGCATACGTGTGCACCAAGTTATGGATGCGTGAATGTACAGCGACATTGCGGCGCGCATGCACATTCAGCTGAGCTACGCACTATGAATGCATATACAGATACGTGCAGGTACGTAGTAGTTCACGCGTACGCGCACGCAAAATGATGCGCCCACATGGGCCGCAGTCCAAGATGCATGCACGTGTAAATATGGCCATGTGTACGTGTGCATATACATACACTCATACACATACGCACACATATGCATAGACATATGTGTATAAGTGTTCACCTATACCTGCTCATTTGTACATCTTTATATCTGTGTATATATAACTATGTGACTATGTGCGTACATGCATATACCTGTGCGTGTACAGATCCATGTACATACACACATACTAACGCATAGGCCTGTGTGAATAGATGAACATGTGCGTATGCATGTGCATGTACAACTACATACGCACATGCATATAAAGACAGATGCATGTACAGATGCATCTACATGTACGTCTACATCGACATTTGCATATACATCTGCATAACCATGTGTACATATATATATATATGTTGAGACATATGCATATACGCCCCCTCCCCCCTAAGTTTCCGACCCGCACCTCGATGACATCTCGCGCATTCCACCCACTATACATTGCAGGTTGCCACATCGTCTTACTGGTCTTCCCCGTCCTCTTCAACTTTCTCATCCGTCCCCTCCCTGCTGCAACGCGTCCCGTCAGTTCCTGCCAGAGACGCCACGCTGGCTCGCGGCGCGGGGCTACACGGAGGAGGCCACCTTGTGTTTGCAGAGCTTGCTTTCAAATCCGGCAGAGGTCCAGGACATCGCTACTCTCTGCTGATTCTATCTTCGCACTCGTGCTCGCACGTACCCATGAGGGAAGTCGGGGGCAGGGCGGGGACGGAGTGAGCGGAGTGGAAGCGAAGGAGGGGGGGAGAAGGGGGAAGGGGAACAGGGGAAGAGAGGTCACGCATCGCCCCGGCGGCCATCAAGAACGGCGGTGGTCGGGGCCAGGTTCACCACTTCGCTGCGGCAGGTCTCGGCACCCCCTCCCCTCGGGGGGCCTCGACCGAAGCGCGCTCGAAACTCGTCCTGCCAGGCGGCGGCCCCTCTGACGGCAGTGCCTGGGCCTCACTCCAGCACGGCCCTGGGCAGGCCGAGTGCCACGAGGAGTGCTGCCCCAGAGAGGCTGCGCGCCGGCAGCGTGACGGGATCTGCCAGCGGCACCGCCGCCCAGCCGCGCGTGGTCTTCCCAGGCGGTCGCTCCCGCCCACCCAGCGACCGCAGGGGAACCGCCGCGCGAGATCCTCGGCGGCTGTCGGCGCGAAGCGCGGCGCAGCTCCAGCGGTCGTCGCCCAGCCCCCCGCGGCACGCCACCGCTAAGACGGACACGTGGATGATCCGATCCTCCCTGGCCTCCGCCAGATTCCTGGGCTGCAGAGAAGCCAGCAGGAAGGCGCCGAGGCGGCGCGCCCTTGCCACCTGCTCTGAGCCGTACACGTGCTGTCGCCCAAGCAGTGGTCCGCCTCTGCGAGCGGGACGAGCAGCTGGGCAGCCGTACCGTGCAAGGCACAGCAATGTTCACTGCGGAAGCGGAGCGGCTCGTCATCGTTGGCTTCCCACCTCCGGCCCCTATTCTGAAGGTGGGCGCGCACACGTCACGCGGCGTCTCGCGTGGGTCCATGGTCAGACTTGCTGGCCATGAGGCCGACAGCGTCGGCGGCGGGACGAGGCCACGGTGGTCCGGTGCGGGCGAACCTGCACCAGCATGGGGCAACACGTCGGGGCAAAATCTTGGGGCACTCCTGCGAGCCTTGGGGGCGATCCTGGGGCCATCCTGGAGGAACTCGATCAAAGAAGGGGGTGTCAATTATGCCCCCCCCCCACCCCACCCACCCACCCCCAAGAGGCCGAAAGTGGCCCAATACCCTAGTAGAATCAATGATTTGTGCCCTCTCGCCGAGGCCATCTTGGACGCCCGTCCAGGGGGAGGGGGTAGGGGGAGGGGCAAGCCCCTCACCGAAGGGGAAGGCGGGGGTTGGAACAGGAAGCGCCCTGAGCCACTCACGCCCCAAAGGGCAGGTGGGAGTTGGCGAAATCTGCTCTGGCACTCTCGCCCTACCAGAATCCAGCCACAACTCCAGTCCAAGACTGTGTGGTAGATTCTCCAGCGTGACGTCCGGCAACATATGTGGTCCAAACAAAGGAGAATTGAGGAGCGGGAGGAGGAGGGAGGAGGAGGAGGAGGAGGAGGTGGAGGAGGGGGAGGAGGGGGAGGAGGGGCAGGAGGAGGAGGAGGAGGAGCAGGAGGGGGAGGAGGGGGAGGAGGGGCAGAGGAGGAGGGGAGGAGGAGGAGGAGGAGGAGGAGGAGGGGGACGAGGAGGAGGAGGAGGAGGAGGAGGAATGTTGTGAACATTCCCCCACCGGAAAAGGGGCCGAATATCTTGCCAGCCGGCGGCGCTCGACCGCTGGAACGGCCGCGGCCCTGGGAAGATCCGGCCGTACAACGTCATGCGGCACGCTCGCACGTCTCAACAGAGGTTGGCCGCAGGAAAATCCCTCGCCAATATCAGGGATGCCCGGTTCGGTTCGGTTCGGTTCGGTTCCGAAGTGCCTCCGGTTCGGTTCGGTTCGGTTCGGTGTCGGAGCCCTTCCGGTTCGGTTCGGCTCGTCGCTGTGAAGTTTGCCGCCCGGTTCGGCCCGGTTCGTTGTGCGTTTGTTTCAGATTCGGATGTGGCGAGCTCCGTCCCAGAAAGTCTAATTCATTGGCAAAACATTCGGCGGAATTCTGGACTTCGCTCACGTCGGGAAAAAGTATGCTTGGAGAGTTCGCGAGGGGCTTCCAGCGCAAGATCTCGCTGGGTGTGTTGCTTGAGATGTGGTATTAGCGCCTGGTCGAATGGGAAGACGTTTCGCAGGTTTCGTTGGAAAGTCATATCTGCAGTTCCCGCAGCAAGATTTGCTTGAAGATTCCGCTGGACATGTGATTATCTCATTACAAAGTTTCTGGTGGCTTGGCGTTGGTCGTTTGTCTGCGAGGAATCCGGATGCGGTGGGGAACATCGAAGTGGGAAGGCTTGGGTCGGCCCAGCATTGCTCAATGTCAGGACGTGGTTCGTGGTCTCGGCGAGTACGAGGGCGCCGCTGAATTCTCCAGCGCGGAGGCCGGCTGGGGCGTGGCAGATGTTCTACCAGTCATTGTGCCGCATCGGTTAAGTCGGGCATGTCCCTCTACAGGCAGAATACTCCAAAATAGTCAAAAAATAGTTTGTGGACGGTTTTTCGCGTATTTTCTGCTATTTCTGAAAAGTCCTGAATCTTTTTTATTTTTCGTCGAGAATCCGCCTGTAGGGGGACATGCCCGACCTAACGCATCGGCTTCAGGGCAATACTTCAACCTTCAGGAGGCCTCTCGGGATCTCAGTGCCGCGCCTTTGCCATGCCCGACGCGCGCGTGCCTCTCGGGGGGGCACGCGCTCTTGCCAAGACGACACGGGTGATAGTTCTGATGACCTAATCCCGATCCAACACCCTGCTTTCCCCATCCCTCCGCCTCGCTTCCCTTTCCCACATCGGTCTGCCACGCCTGCACGAATTCCGACCCCCTCTTCTTGGCACCTCCTGCTCTGCATCTCTTTCCGGTGTCCCTCCTCCATTTCCCTTTGTTGTCCTCTCTCCCTCCCTCCCTCACATCATCTCCCCCCTTTTGCCTCCCCTCTCCTCGTTTCCGTCCGTTCTCCTCTCTCAATTTCTCTCTCGTTCTTTCTTTCTCTTATATATATATATATATATATGTATGTATGTGTATTCCTTTTTCTCTCTGTCTCTCTCTCTCTCTCTCTCTCTCTTTTCTCTCTCTCTCTCTCTCTCTCTCTCTCTCTCTCTCGATATATATATATATATATACACACACATCTGTATATTCCCGCCCCCTCAAACCCCGCAGCGATCGTTCCCTCCTATCGTCTCCTCCCCTTGTATGTACATGGCTGTCGATACAGTCGGTGAGGATTGGTACAAGAAATCGTGGATGCCAGCAAGATGAAGAGGATGAGGCAGAGAAAAAAGTAGTCTGTGTCCACGTATTTCTTTTGTCCGCTGGATGACCGAGCTCGAGCTCAATTGTTCGGCTAGAATCACCGATGCGGGTTGTTTTCGATACTTGACGTAGCACTTGCAGACCGCGAAGATGGGAAGGTAAGGAGGCGAGGCACGGTGTGGTGAGGCGGAAACCCAGACAAAGATGCCAGAGCATAAACGAGCGAGGACATCAGTGATCCGTTGACGACTGCAGAATGAACAGTGCAGAGCAGGGTTGAAAACGATGTGTTTCGGCCTGCAGTGTGCTTTTGTTGGGCATGATCGGTTTCGTGGTCAGGATGACAAGTCGCTGTCAATATGTGTTGATTCCCAGTATTTGAGAAACGCTTACAAATGACAAGTTCGATACGGGTATCAGCAAAAACGTGTTGCTGGACAGATAGGCAGCATGGCGAAAGGATTGCTTGGCAGTGAAGGGTTGGGGAGGATCTGCCGAAGGTCGCGCGAGCTTTATGCATGCTGGACCCACAGGACCAGTCCCTTTCACTTGCGTCGCGCTGCGTCTCTCCTCATCTCCTTCCGCTACTCTCCTTATTGTCCTGCTCATCCTCCTGGACGACGCCGTTTTTCTCGTGCAACACGCTCAGCGCACCCTCCCAGCGCCTGCACGACCACCAGCATTACGCTTGGCGTTGCAAAATGCGCGGGAGCGTGCGCATCGCCCTTCAGGCCCCGCGGCCCTGCGACGCCTCTCCGCCATTGTCACCCACTGAGTGCACCTTGTCGCGCAGACCTTCTCCGCTGCGCCAGCACCTGCCTCCGAACAAGCCAGCGGCCCCGCCAGGTGCACGAGTCCCGCTCGTGTGTGGCTTGCCACCGCGGCCGTTCTCTCCTCGCCCCTGCCCCCTCCGGTGCTGAGTTGAAGTGGGACGTACGCCACCGCCGCGACCAAACGATGTGCTTTGCCACCGCGACTTCCCGGCGGCCTCTGCCGCCCACGCAGGCCAGGAGCTCCGCGGAGGCCCGTCCCCCGCTGGACCGCCGGGCACTCTCATCACCACCACCCTGCTGTTGGCGTTCCGCAGGCCTCCTCCCCCAGGGCTGCCTCCAGACACGCGCCTGGCCCGCAGGCCCCCACGGCGATGATTTCGGCGGCTGGCCTCTCGTGACGCGGCCCTCCGCCCAAGCGCTCCAGCCATGGCGGCTCCTGCCCTGCTTGGCTCCGACGCTGTGGCTGTCCCCGCTGCTGCGGAGATGCGGCCTTGAACATCGCAGGAGACGCAGGAGACGCAGGGCCCGCGCACTTGGCATGGTATGCGCGCCCCTTTCATTACCGACTTTCTCCCATATCAGTCTCGGGTTCATCTCGCCTCCGACCCCAAAAGTTTGCGCAGAACAGTGGCACCAGGAGGCGTGGCGCCTCATGGAGAGGTCTTGGGCCAATGTTTTGCTGTATTGGGAAAGTCGTAGGCTATGAAAGAGGGGATGGTGCTCGGGGCGTCTTCGCGCTATCTTGCGGTCGTATTGGGCAACATCGAGGAAAGTTTGGGGTATCCTACGTGTTGCGAACACCGTCTTCGCCCGAAAGTTTTGAAAGCTCGAAATCACAGAAAAGTAATCGGTTGTTCAAGCTTTGTGGCCTCCGGGGCTTTCCGGAGTGCTTGTGTGCCGGACGACCACGCAGGATCTCGGCACCAGATTTATTGCGCGAAAGGGTTTCGACCTGGCAGCGTGGCCCCAGGCTTTACCACTGCTTCTTACATTGCTCAGGCTTGGTACGATTCGCTTGTTAGTAGTAGTAGTCGGAGTAGTAGTCGGAGTAGTAGTAGTAGTAGTAGTAGTAGTAGTAGTAGTAGTAGTAGTAGTAGTAGTAGTAGTGGTAGTAGTAGTAGTAATAGTAGTAGTAGTAGTCGTGGTCGTAGTCGTACTCGTAGTCGTAGTCGTAGTCGTAGTCGTAGTCCTAGTCGTTGTCGTCGTAGTCGTAGTTGTAGTAGTAGAAGTACAAGTAGTAGTAGTAGTAGTAGTAGTAGTAGTAGTAGTAGTAGTAGTAGTAGTAGTAGTACTAGTACTAGTACTAGTACTAGTACTAGTACTAGTACTAGTAGTAGTAGTACTAGTAGTACTAGTACTAGTAGTTAGTACTAGTACTAGTACTAGTAGTAGTAGTAGTAGTAGTAGTAGTAGTAGTAGTAGTAGTAGTAGTAGTAGTAGTAGTAGTACTAGTTGTTGTTGTAGTAGTAGTAGGAGTAATAGTAGTAGTAGTAGAAGAAGTAGCTGCAGTAGTAGTAGTAGTGGTAGTAGTGGTGGTAGTAGTAGTAGTAATAGTAGTAGTAGTAGACATAGTAGTAATAGTAGTAGTATCAGTAGTAGTAGTGGTAGTAGTAGTAGTGGTAGTAGTAGTAGAAGTAGTCGTAGTCGTCGTAGTCGTAGTCGTAGTCGTAGTCGTAGTCGTAGTCGTAGTCGTAGGCGTAGGCGTAGAAGCAGGCGTAGTCGTAGTCGTAGTCGTAGTCGTAGTCGTAGTCGTAGTCGTAGTTGTCATCGTAGTAATAGTAGTAGTAGCAGCAGCAGTAGTAGCAATAGTAGTCGTAGTAGTAGTCGTAGTAGTAGTCGTAGTAGTAGTAGCAGTAGTAGTAGAAGTAGTAGTAGTAGTAGTAGTAGTAGTAGCATTAGTAGCAGTAGTAGTAGTAGTAGTAGTAGTAGTAGTAGTCGTAGTAGTAGTCGTAGTAGTAGTAGTAGTAGTAGTAGTAGTAGTAGTAGTAGTAGTAGTAGTAGTAGTAGTAGTAGTAGTAGTAGTAGTAGTAGTAGTAGTAGTAGTAGTAGTAGTAGTAGTAGTAGTACTACTACTACTACTACTACTACTACTACTACTACTACTAGTACTAGTAGTAGTAGTCTCATGTTTATTATGTGTCGTTCACCTTGCGTCTAATTCGTTGCGTGTGTCACCGCTTCGGAGGGCTTGTCTGGAAGGACTGCGGAGAGGTTTCGGAGGGGGCCGATCGTTTGTTTCTCAGTCGCGCAAAAACAGTCGCGCGTCCAAGGGCGATGTTCACCTAATGAGCACGCATGTGATTAAAAGACTTGCGCGTGCTTCTACCATCTGGGCTTCCTGGCGCGCCACTGACACGACAGACACCTTCATCGAGTCGGGTTGACAGTCCTCATCATGTTGACTTCTGCCTGGCACACGTACACTGCCCTCTCCCCGTATTCCCTTTGAGATGCGGCTCCCTGTGCTACGTGCACAAGGCATGGCCTTCTTCCACATGGCCACGGGCGTCATTATTCCTGGTGTGTTTGGTACATTGATTTTGGAGGAGCGGTATGGAAAGGCACATCACGCCTTGTTGCTTGCGTGTTCTCTTTTATTGTGTCCGCGAGTCCTGCCACCGCTGGCCAGCATGTCCTTGCGCTCCCCATTATTCCATTGATTTAGCCGACCCCCCCCTGCAATCGTAAGATTTGATTTTCCTGGAGCTGTAAGGACGATGCTTTGCATGTCATATTTCCCGGCGCCATGGAATGCGAGGGTCTTACTGCCGGTGCCACCGACCCTAACAAAGAACGATGGCGGCGACGGCGGTGGCGGCGACGACGACGCTGACGCTCTGGAGCCTTTCTTGTGGCTCTCTTGAGAGCCGCTTGGGCTCTGTTGGGGGGCATTTTGGGGAACTTCTTGGGAAGCTCCGTGGTCACTTGGAGCCGCCTCGGAGCGGATCTGAGCCCTCTTGAAGGGATGTAAGGAAACACGCAGCACTCCGCAACAGCAGGTAAGAGTGAGGAAGTTGCCTCCGGGGGGTGGTGGGTTGGGAAGGAGGGGGAGGGGGCCTTGTTCACAGAGGGGAGGCGGGGGGGAGGGGTCTTGAGTTACTCTTGTCCACAGGGGGACCCCCCCCTGCCCCACCTGTCCACAGGGGGACCTGGGACGGTAGGGGGGGATCATCGAGTTCTCCTTGTCCACAGGGGAGACCACCCATGCCCCCCCCTGTCCACGGGGGAGACCGCGGGGGGGGGGGGGCAGCGGGAGGAGAGGGGCCTTAAGTACCTCCTGTCAACAGCAGGGACCACCCACAGGGGGGGGGGTCCGACCCCGAGGGTGACCCCCCAGGCGAACCCCGCCCCCCCCCCCCCCCAGGGACACCTCCCTCCGGTGGGGAAAGGATTCAAAAGAAAGGGCTTCCCTTCGACTCAACTACGACGTTGTTGGACTGCTGCCTGGCTGGATCGTTTGAGGAGGAACGCCCAGGGAAAGGGGGGAGTGGCGACAGCGACGACGACGACGAGGACTTTAACGGAAAAGCATCACGCACGCCGACAGGGTCGAGGGATTTTTGTTGGTGCACCGCCACATGGCCCTTCCAAGCCGCCAGATCGCGGCTTCGGAAGACCAGGACCCCAGATCGCGAGCTGGTGGGGCGGCGCCGTGCCGTGCCCCGCTGCGGCGCTCTGCCATGCGCTTGTTGCGCGGTGCCGCCGTGCCCCGAGGCGCCCCCCCCAGAGCGACGTGGTGGCTGCGAGGTGCCGTGCCGTGAGGGGCCTTGCCGTGGTGCAGTGGAGGGCGCCAAGGGGCGCTCTGACTGTGGAGAAGCGCCGTGCCGAAAGTGGCCGTGCCGCGATCCATGGAGGCCCCGGGCAACGACGTGGCGGTTGAGACGTGCTGTGTCGTGCCGCGGCCTTGAGTCTCCCGCATCTCGATGTGGTGGTTGGGAGGTGCCACGCGGTGGTGCCGTACACCATGCATCGCACGCGCGTCACAGTACCACGGCACGCCACGGCACGTGCGGCCGACCGAATCACGAGTTGACAGAATTGTCGCAAGTTGCCGCTTGCCAGCCCCAAAGACACGGCACGGTTAAGCGCCACGACACCGCACGGCACCGCGGCGCGGCACGGTACCACGGCACGGCATTGCACGCACGATTGACCTTTTTCGTCACCGCACCACGGCACGGCACCGCGGTACGCGCGGCCAACCGAATCACGGATTGACGTTTCCAGCAGATTGTTTTCCCAAGCCATTATGTGGTGTTGGGTACTCGTTTTGAAGAGAGAAGGTCCCCGCGTGTTCCTCTTCTCCTCTACTCATCCTTCCCCCCTCCTCCCTCATCCCGTCACCCCCCCTCACCCATTTCGGCACACCCCCTCCTCACACGATTCGTGGCCCCGTAGGGAGCTCCACCGAAGGCCCTCGTTGCCCGCATGCGGTCCCCGCACCCATTTCGGCACACCCCTCACACGTTTCGTGGCCCCATAGGGATCTCCACCGGAAGCCCCAGCGGGGGGGCCCGCATCACACCCATTTCGGCACACCCCTCACACGTTTCGTGGCCCCATAGGGGGCTCCGCCGAAGGCCCTAGTGGGGATGCCCGCATGCGGTCCCCACACAAATTTCGGCACACCTCTCATACGCTTCGTGGCCCCATAGGGAGCTCTAACGAAGGCCCTAGCGGAGGTGCCCGCATGCGGTCCTCACACCCATTTCGGCACACCCTTCACTCGTTTCGCCACCCCACAGTGAATTCCACCGAAGGCCTTAGTGGGGGGGCGCTCGCATGCGGTCCCCATACCCATTTCGGCACACCCCTCCCACGTTTCGTGGCCCCATAGGGAGCTTCACCAAAGGCCCTAGTGGGGTTGCCCGCATGCGGTCCCCTCACCCATTTCGGCACACTCCTCACACGTGTCGTGGCCCCAGAAGGGAGCTCCACCGAAGGCCCCAGTGCCACCGCCCACATGCGTCCTCCACACCCACTTCGGCACACCCCTCACACGTTTCGCCACCCCCTAGTGAACTCCACCGAAGGCTGCAGTGCCACCGCCCGCATGTGTCCCCAACACCCATTTCGACACACTCCTCACACGCTTCGTGGCCCCATAGGGAGCTCCACCGAAGGCCCCAGTGCCAGCGTCCACATACGTCCGCCGCACCAATTTCGGCACACCCCTCAAAGGGTTCGTGGCCCCATAGGGAGCGCCACCGAAGAGCAGATTCAATTTGCGGTACAACTGCATTTGGTTGGGTCTTTCGCCAGGCTAAGTTAAGTCGGCGTTCCAGGGGGACCTCAGACGCGGTCGGCAGCTGGAGGTGCCAGTTGCGAACGAACTTAGTCGAACGCGCCATGATGAACGAGCTCAGTCACGGCCATGCAGTTATGTGGTTAAGAACGAGAGGCGCTGCAATGCCAAGATGCAGCGGCCAAAAAGCCCGAGGAGCACAAGCTCGACGCGGGTAGTTTGAAGCGCAAGCAGCAGTCTTCTTCTAATTGACGCCTCGAGGAGACAGCAGCGAGAAAGGACCAGATGCACACACACGGCCCCTCGCGCCACGGCACACAACATGTTTTGCCGACCGAGTCACGAGTACGCATTTTGCATGTCCGATATGACCGCGTTTCGGGGCAACCATTGCCATCGCTGTCGGCATGATTCGTCCCGGGGTCGAGCAGACGTCGGTTTGCGCGCCGCTCGTGTGTACAAAAGTGTATCCCCTTGGCGTGACCTGGTTGCCGAGTTGCAAACGGCTGCCGGTTTGCAAACGGTGTCGGGCAGCAGAAGATGTGGATGCAGATTTGTGTGCGGTAGATGCGTGCCTTCTGGCGCGGCGGCAGTCTGGACGTGGGCGTTCACGGTTGACTTTCCGAAACAAGAAAATGTTAAGTATTGAACGACCCAGCAGAGAACACTGTGTCATGATGTGATGCGCGCGTGTGTGTTCGTTGCTGTGGTTATTGGATCAAGTTCGCAATGTTGGTTGAAACACACGTGCATGTTTGATTCGTTCGATCGCACGTGTGAGCGAAATGAACCGTTGTCTCTACTACGTACAACCTGTCGCGATTGCAAGGGGGCGCCACGACAGGTATGTGTAGCGACCATTGCGCGATCGAGGCATGCAATGATGAATTCGGTGAGGTAATGTCACCCAGTATGAGAGCTGGTTCCCAAGGCGGCGGGCAGCCGAACCATGTCCGTTCAGGAGCAAGTAGTGGACAAGTTCGGTTCCAATACGTTGCCGCTCCCAGTTCCCCCAGAGACCACTATGTCTCTACATACGTATGTGTCACTTTCTCTCTCGCTTTCTCTCCCTCTCTCTCTCTCTTTGTCGCTCTCTCTCTCTCTCTCTCTCTCTCTCTCTCTCTCTCTCTCTCTATATATATATATATATATATATATGTACACGTATGTTAAAATCTTCGCGCGGTCGTCGAGAACCCTCTAGCTTGCATGCACAGGCGATGGCACAATGGGGTATGTTTGTGATGTGCACCTTCAAGATGGCAGCTATTTTGTTTAGTACCGCATTCGTTGACTATTGCGGAAGGTGGATCCATGCATGGTGTCATCATTGTTTGCAACCCAAAGCAGCATACTGCATACGATAGAGTACCTCTGACAGTCAAGTCGGCACGGTGACGTGTGAGACCAACATTGAAGCCACGTGCAAATGTAATGTTGCACCGTGTTTGTCCCATGCATGTTGTTAGATGGCGATTGTTGCATGGCCGCAGTTGCGAAGGAACAGATCACTACCCCAGCCCGTTTGTTGCGATGCACGACAATTTCATGTGCCGCGTGTGTATTGAAAGGTTCGGGCGACGCGCGCTATCCACGCCTATGGTTGTATACTTGTTGGTATTGACTTCACTCGGGCTGGGATCTTGCCAGGTTGCCATTGCTGGTGGGCTCATGTGCCATTATGGGCATTGGCTTTATGATGTGGGCATTGATTTGGATACTGCCCAAAGCACCTTTCAGTTGGACGTTGCGCTTTCCTTCTTGTGCAACCAATGTCGCTTACATGCTATCAGTCAGGGTTCGCAGTTTTACTCCTTCGCGCATGCTCCAAGTCGCACGGGCATCTTGTTAGACTTGCCATGTTGCCGCGTGGCTGAATTGCACTGGTACGTTGTGTCGGTTCATTCGGCCGTGTCGATTGGTTGTGGCGAAGCTGTGTTTTGACATTGGAATCTGGCTTAGAGGACAGGCACCTGTCAGCACATTGAATGCGTGTGCGGGACGCAGGGTTTCCCGCTACACGGCAAAAAGCTAAACAATTGCCGGCCATCCCGCCCGTACCATAGTAGTTATATATGGATTGTCGCATCATTTTCCGTTGAGGCAGTGGTGTCTTCGCGCGTTTGGATTTTTGCAACGGCACAGCTGAGGAATGTTTCCAAGATCTTGGGACGACAAGCAAGATATGTTCCAAGATCTTCACCAACTGTTCGATTGGCTATTCGTACCGAAACCCACGCGTCGTTGATGGGCAACGTTCGGAGCTTGACAACGAAAGGTATTGTCATTAAGAAATGCGCCCACGGATGGGTGCACAGCCAGCTATCGAAAAATAGTTCGTTCGAGCACTCGCTTACATAGCCAGTAATCCGTACAGTAAGTAGTGTGGTTGGTTCTGGTCTGTCCTCTTCGTGAGCGTATTACGCAAGATGATCAATTTGTCCAGGGGGGTCCTGTTCCTAGAGCAGAGGCGCTTCAATTCCGCCCCCCAGGTCATGCTTGGATGATGCAGATTCTGTTGTGCGCACGCATTTGTTCGCGTGGCATTTGCACCTTTTCAGTTTTACGTGGCATTTTTTCGCGCCAGGTAGCACATAGCTTCGTGCTAAGAGGCAGGGTGCGTTTCACGGTGCCGTTGGCATTATTTCCCCAATGACGACGATGATGAGCGGTTGAATTGGCGCATTGTATCCATTCATTCAGATAAGCTATTTTTTCACACCAGAACTTGGTCCGTAAGCGAGGCACCCACACTGAAGGTGTACGCGGAATGATGAATGTGGCATTATTTCGAGATTCAAATGCAGTGGTTGGTCATATTCGTTGTCTCACGAACATGGTTCTGCAAGTTTGCAGTATGTTTCCGTTTGGTTATTGTGATTGCAGAATGGAGATACACCGCATTTGTGTTTGGTAGACAACAGACGTTCGACAGGACATGCGCCAGTTGTCCGATGCGCATTCGTGAAGAAACCCGCGAACGGTTGACCCGCAAAGGTCGGGATTTGGCAACGGAAGTAGTGTGCCCACAAAACGCTTACAGATGTGTACACGACCAGTCTTCGCAAAACAGATCGTGAATGTATATTCACTAAGTTTATTATGGAATCGCTTCAGGAAAAAAGTGTTGTGATGTTTTCCCTGGGACCGAACGTTCACCCGCAGTGACCGACTCTCGAGACTCCGCGTATTTCCACCAGCCTTGTGCTGCGCCCAGTAGCTAATTAGGTTTGCCCGCCGGCCCGGACACCCTGTTCGCCGCCCGCGCTCTTCGCTGGTGGCCGCGACCAAAAAAGTATGTCCACCAGCCCATCCAGAAATGACCGCCTTGCGATGTGTCTTGATCAGGGTAATGTAGGAGCATCCAGTGGAACAGATAGGCGAGTCAGCCGTCAAGCCCAAGCTCGGAATGCGCCTGATCATACCCAGGATTGGCATGGTTCAGCTTGACGTCGAACAAGGAGAGTAGGAGGAGAAGGATACGTAGGAGAAAGTGGAGAAGGAGGAACGGGAGGAGGGAGGAGAAGGAGAAAGAGGTAGGAGGGAGGAAGACGGTGAGGAGGAAAAGCAAGAGCAGGAGGAGGAGGATGGCGAAACGCGACCACCGCTGCTGCAAGGAGTCAGCCTTGGAGAGGCTGGTCCTCGCGGGCCCGCCAGACGTTATTGCAGGGCAGCGCTGCGGTGCAGGCCATGCGGGAAGATTGGAGCCAATATTGGGACAACGCCAAGGCTTCGATCACGGTGATCCAGCGGGCCAGGTCTAAGATGACGCCGCTCCAGCGCCCAACTGTTGAGCGCGTCAGGCTGGCTTTCAGGTCTTCCAAGCACGCACTTGGGTTCGGAGTCGACTGCGTCAACCCGCGGTCCTGGGAGTTGTTGCCCGACATGCTTGTGGAGCGCCTGACTGACGTTCTCCAATTGCGAGAGCAGGACCCGCAGCGTTCGGAGAAGTGGCCCACGCTGATGGCATTCTTGCCGAAGCCCGATGGCTCGGGCGCGCGGCCGACCGCGCTCATCTGCTCGGTCCTCCGAGTTTGGGCCAAGGCGCGCCGCGAACTGGCGCGCGAGTGGGAGCGCTCGCACGCCTCGGAGGTCTTCTGGGGAGAGCGCGACAAGGAGTGCGATCGCGCCGCCTGGGTTCACCAAGCTCTGGAGCATTTCGCCCGTGCCAAGGGGCTCCAGAGCGCGACGTTCGGCGCGGACTTCGGCGAGTTTCACGAGCGAGTGGAGCACGAGATCTGGATGTCGGAGGCGGAGGCCACCGAGTTTCCGCTTGGGCTTTCGGCGGCGGCATGCGGGCTGTACTCGGGGCCGCGATTGTTGCCCCTTCAAGGGGCGGTCTCGCCCCCGTTCGCGGCACGGGGCGCCATCCTCGCAGGCTGTTCGCTGGCTTTCTTTCGCGCGGGCGCTGCTGCACCGCCTCCTGGCTCGCGTCGCCGCGGGCCGCCCGTCCGTCGGGCTGCCGAGCGTCGCCGACGGCGTCGGCGGGCAGGCCCCGGGCACGTCGCCATACGTGGCGCGGCAGCTCGGGCAGGCGGGAGCGGAGCTGACGGCTGGCTTCCGAGATTCTGGCTCGCAGTCTCGGCCCGCAGGACGCAGCTCTCGGCCCCGTCCTCCGTCGCGGTGGCGGGCGGCCTCGCCGCCCGACGCTCACTCGCAGAGCTGTGGCTCTCAGCCTCGGCACCGCCCCGCTCGGCGGGCGGCGCCCGCCCGCGCGCCTCCGCCGGCCGGCTCGCCGCGGGCCCTGCGCCGAGCTGGTGCCTGCAGTGGCTGCGCGCGGCGCGCCGGGCCGCGGGCGGCCGGGGCGCGGGGCGGGGCGGGGCGAGGGGCAGTGCGCGGCGGGACTGGGGGGGGGGATCAGGGCTCAGGCGCTGCATTCTCTGCGCCCTCGCCGCCGCGGCGCGGCCACCGGCTTGAAGCTGCAGATGTTCCGTTCGAATCGATCCTGTTCCGGTGCATTGCGGGTCGGGGATCTTCGACTGGGCCAGGACCGTCGGGGACCCTGCGCCCAACTTGTGCATTGTCCAGGCAGGTCTCGGGGGTGCGGTTCGGTCGCTGGCCGCCACTTCCAGGCCGTGGATTAGAGCCACCTTACAGGCAGGGTGCTTCTCGGAAGCGCCACGAGGAGGAGGGGGAGGAGGAGGGGGAGGAGGAGGAGGAGGAGGAGGAGGAGGAGGAGGAGGAGGAGGAGGAGGAGGAGGAGGAGGAGGTGGAGGGGGAGGGGGAGGGCGGAGGAAGGCGGAGGAAGAGGAGGAGGAGGAGGAGGGCGGAGGAGGAGGACGGAGGAGGAGGACGGAGGAGGAGGAGGACGGAGGAGGAGGACGGAGGGCGGAGGAGGAGGAGGAGGAGGAGGAGGGGGAGGCTGGACGGCCACTTAAGCACGAGACATTGCGCTGCCGTCTCGGGAGGCGCCCTCCGTGCTCCGGACATACCCCATCGACGGTCAGCCGCCCGGCAGAGGAGGCGGCCAGGGACATGTCTGCCGTTGGGGAGCTCGGGACGAGGACTGGGCCCTCGGGGGCGCGGGGGGGTCCCGCCCCGTCTGCTGGAAGCCGCCCCCGAAGATGTGCGCTTGGCCCTCGGAGGTCTGGTCCAAGAGCCACGCCAGCTCCCCGAGGGCTTCGGCTTCGGGGACCCTCTGGACCCGGCAACGGCTCTCCTGCCATAAGGAGTACTCGGCGTCCAGCGAACGCATGCTTCGCAGCAGAGGACCCGGCGCGCTTTTCCATCGCAGGTTCGGTGGCCTTGCTCGGCAAAGTGACAGGCGACAATTCTTCTCTCCAGAGCTGCGCGCGGGCCTCAGATGCTTTTGCTGCGGGCACTCCCCCGTGCCCGATAGCGTCTGCCCTCCCTGCGTTGCGCCCCGCTGAGTGCCAAGCCACGCGGGTGGGACGCCCGGTCAGGGGCCGCTTCTCGGGCGGGCTATTCACTGACGGCTGGGCCATCTTCCCTTACGACCCTCTCCTGGCGATGGCGGACGACGGAGGTCGCATGTTAGCGGCCTGTTTCAAGCCTGTCCCGTGGGAGGTTGCCCAGTTATCACAGGCGAAGGACGACGAAGAATTTGCCTTCGCCACGTTGCCCCACGTAGCGATAGGCCCCTTTGAGGCGTGGCCCGACTGCTCTGCAACGCGTGGTTGTGCCACTTGTAGACCACTTGGGCTCGAACTCGGCAGACCCATCTTTGGGGCCGCTTTTTCGCTGCCTTCGAGGACAGTGTACCCGTTCATAAGACGAAGGCCCACACGACGGTGGCCAATTTGCATTCCAGGCGCACCATGGCTTGGGAGCACAAGGCCACTTCGGTGGCGGACACCCTGGCCAAACGGGGGGCCGCCCTGCATCCCGACGCCAGCGAAGCCGCCAAGGACTTGGCGGGCCTGGCGCTTTTGGGGGGGGACTTCGTTCGATGGGCGGGGACCTTAGGTGCGCTTGTGGCGGAGCGTGAGTGACGCGATGCAGATGGGCCCCCTGAGCGGGCGGCCCAGCGGGGCTGCGCCGCCTCGCCTCCTGCTCCGCGGCTGCCTGCTCTCACCCGATCGGCTTTATCGCTGCAGGCGCAATCACCCATGGCTAGCAAGCTCGCCCTGCTAGTGCAGCTGTTCGCGCATGAAGTTCGCGTGGCACGCGTCTTTGGCGCGGCTGGCGGCCTCGCCTGGTTGCGCCAAGGCTGTGCTGCTGCACCTCTCGTAGAGCCTTCGCCCTGGGCGCGGCCCGCGACCGTCTGCAGCCGCGCAAGGGTG